TATTTCTAGGATTAGTTTTTAATGTACATTATTGTAGATTATCGTCGCAAAAGCAATTACAATAACTATTGTGAACGATTCTTGATGTAGGGAGTGAATGACGGGTGAAATTGGGAAGGAAAAAAGACGGTATATAATGAATCTGTGAGATAATGAATCCATGTGGTCGATAGGTAATTTCAATGACAAGGTCTTTTCGCTAACAGGCCATTTCAGTTGCAAAAATTTTCTGTCGATAATACTTATATAATGTTCCCCCGCAATGAGTAAAACACATTAATACAGTTTAAAATATTTTCAAAAAAAAAAAAGTTGCTATGATAACAATGGTGATGTTTACAAAGAATTCAATCCGAAAAACCCAAAACTTTTAGATAGTTAGCCAGTAACATTACTTCTTGTTTTATCAAAAATTTATATATCCCCGGTGTTTAGATATTTATTTTTTTCAAGCTCAGTTGATTTTTTTTTCATATGCAAGTAATCGTTAATTTTGTTACTACTGACATATTAATTAAATTTTCGTACATAACATTTCAATATTTATATATTTTCTTTTTAAAAAAAAGATCGACATAGGAAGAAAACAAACTAAGTTGTATGAGTGGCTATTACGAAGGTTGGTGAGAAAAATCTTGGGGAAAATATGCATGTAGGGAAAAATAAAACGAAAATCCAACTTAGAAAACATATTGGGAAATAATGTTGATAAAAAATTTTGTTCTAACCCTCTTCCTCGTGTCTTTGTCAGCTATGCTGCTGAAGAGGGAAGTTTCTGACAATTCTTGTGAAATTTAAATGAAATATTATTTGAAACAAAAATCTTGTTTTCGCCTTTCCAGTTTATTTTATTTCTTATTTAATTAATTATTTATAACGTTTTGGTGTTTAATAGTTTAATATGTATTTTATCCTATATGCTCCCCAAACATTTACAAGTTCTTTTACCTTATAAAATAAACTTCGTTAATGTAAAAAAAAAAAAAAAGAAAAAACTCACAATGACTCCACATCCTCGGTATGCGATGCAATCGAAATGATATAAAAAATGGTTCCAAAGCAGAGGAGGGGAGGAAACCTGTCTAATTGGTTTTTATGATCTAAAACATTTGGGGAAAAAAAGCAATTTATTACTATATAACCAATAAATTGACCTTTGAGTTTATAATTCAGGAGAGTTATCCATATGCATCTGATTTTATTCTCATTAATGTTTTATTAAAATACGTTCAGCAAACTTGTTTTTTTACTCAAATATTAAAATGTTTTTCTTTTCGATTTGCTAGAGAATAAAAATTTATTTAAGTAAATAAACTATGCACAGAGAGTATATATTTTAAAGGCCAGCACTAAGGAAAGTCCTTTAAAAAGTGTAATCGGAAATGGAAATGTTTTTAAATATCATGTTTGATATGTGTTCTGAAAAAGAAATGTGAATTTTTGTTACCAAAACGAAAAAAGTGGAATTTTGAATAATGATAGAATATTTTGAAAATTTTGCCCTTGTGGTTTTTGCTATGCGTGAAAATTTTTATAAATTTTTTTCTCATTTGTAGTCTACTGAACAAACTTGATATTTTAAATATGTATGCATTTTTTATTTTCATTTTTTCTGCATTTTAGTTTTGAGCCTCCTGGCTTGTTCAGGCCAAAAATAATCAAAATTTTGATTGGCGAGAAGTCGTGCTAATAGTGATCAGTAAGCGTTTGAAAATTGTGTCTTCATCATGTACAGAAAATCAGTTAAAAATTTCAGCAATTATACTAGTAAAAAATTGGTCAAATTTTAATTGCAAGATTTTTTTTTTTTGTAGAGTAAGAGTTATTTATTCTTACGTTTAAATTCCAGGTTTGACTTTTTGTTAATTTTCTTTTAAACAAAATGTGTCTAATTTAAATCCTGCAAATAAAAAATGAATTAATTCATCATTTACTTACTACTATTATTATTCTTATTAAATTATACTATTATTATTCAATTATAATAATAGTATAATTCAAAAATAGTATAATTTGATAGTATTAGATTAGAATTTAATAATTAATACTATTATTAAATTCATTATTCATAGAAAAAACACATTTTGTGAAGAGCGAACACTAACACGCTTGCAAAGTTACGCCTGTGCTTCTAAACATTTTTGGTAAGGTGATAAATTAATATTGTGGGAACTATAGTGGGATAAATATTTAATAACACTTTAAATATTGTGGGAATCTATAACCCCTTCAGTAAATACCTAAACATCAAGTTTGCGTTCCTATTGTTCTTCGAAATCTCTAATGGTAGTAATGAAATTAAGACTCAGTTCAATTGTTCGAATAAGCATATTCCTGTCCTAATCTTAAAGATGCTGAACAAAAAGTTTAAAATTGCAATTAAAGTAAACATTAAGAAATTACTTTTCCATCATAAAAAACCTAGAATTTTTTTTTTCTACTTATGCAGATATAATAATTAGGTGTATGATTATTTTCATTTCTATGAGAATTCGACTGAAGTCTATGTTTTCGTTAAAATTTGTGTAAAAATGTTGAAAATTTTTACAGCAATAAATTTAGCTTTCCCCTCCTTGAAATAGTGTCTAAATTTTCATTATAATATATTTTTATTACTTTTAATTCTAAAATTATATTTTATTAATTTTATTTGATATTAAAAACAATTTGATTGCTAACGTCACACTATATTAACTGTTGACTACGGTCCGGATGTCATGCTTGGTAATGTTCTGAAGACAATCCTTACCTATCCTGAAAATAAGTGTCGAGCTATTACGATTTAGATATAGAAAAGAAGATTTCAATACATCAACCGTTTAAACGCTTCTCAACTACCTATTAATTAATTTAAAAAGCGAACTTCTTTTAGTGCAATTGGAACAATACACAGCCATAAAGAATTTTACTTTAGTATGAAAATTAAATAATTTCTTTTTTCTAATTAATAATGNATGTAAAAATGTTGAAAATTTTTACAGCCATAAATTTAGCTTTCCCCTCCTTGAAATAGTGTCTAAATTTTCATTGTAATATATTTTTATTACTTTTAATTCCAAAATTATATTTTATTAATTTTATTTAATATAAAAAACAATTTGATTGCTAACGTCATACTATCTTAACTGTTGACTACGGTCTGGATATCATGCTTGGTAATGTTCTGAAGACAATCCTTACCTATCCTGAAAATAAGTGTCGAGCTATTACGATTTAGATATAAAAAAGTAGATTTCGATACATCAACCATTTAAACGCTCCTCAACTACCTATTAATTAATTTAAAAAGCAAACTTCTTTTAGTGCAATTGGAACAATACACAGCCATAAAGAATTTTACTTTAGTATAAAAATTAAATAATTGCATTTTTCTAATTAATAATGGAAATATTTAGATTAAATCTCTAAAATAGTTTCAGAATTACGCATGACACAATCCACGAAATGACCCTGTCGACGAAATGACTTGTCGACGAAATGATCCTGTCGACGAAATGACCCTGTCAATGAAAATACCTTGTCGACGAAATGACCCTGTCAATGAAAATACCTTGTCGACAAAATGACTTGTCGACGAACTGACCCTGTCGACGAAATGACTTGTCGACGAAATGGTCCTGTCGACGAAATGACCCTGTCGACGAAATGGCCTGTCGACGAAACATCCCTGTCGAAGAAACGGCCTGTCGACGAAATGACCTAGTCGATGAAATGGCCTGTCGATGAAGTGGTGTCGATGAACTGGCCTGTCGATGAAGCGATTGTTGATGAAATGAACCAGACCCAATCCCTATTAGCTCACTTGAAATTATGATTGCATTTAATCATGTTGTAATCATATATATCACAATTAACTTGAATTTAGGATTACTTGTAATTGTTAGATTATGATAACTTGTAGTTATGGTTTCTTGTAATCTTACTTTATGATTACAAGTAGCTTGCAATCCCGTGGTTTGATTATTTGTAATTCTGATTATCTGTAATAATTTTTTGTTGTGATTATAAGTAATCATAACTACTTGTAATGAGAAATAATAATTATTTGTCTCTGTGATTACTTGTAATCATAATCATTACAAGTAGTTAATTACTAAGCAATCATTATCTATGATTAATTACACTTGTAATCGATTACTGTAATCAAAGCTCAACTTGTGATGAAAATGACATAATGCTTGCATTTTTCGCATGGTTATTCAAGATTTTATTCAGAAATATTAGTCGTGACTAATGAATTTATTCATCAATCATTATTCAAAAATTTGCATAATTATCGCATGATGAATAAATTAGCATATGAATAATCAATCAGAATAAATTTATTCTGACTAAATTTAGTCACGAATAAAATTTCCGTGAATGATGCCTATCACTGATAGGCAGTATTATTTCAGAATACGATTGCTGCACCTCCGATCACGCTCGAGAAAATATGAGAACCTGCTTGAGAAAATCAACACTCATTTTTTCTAAACACCTACCAATCACGTCTCCTTTTCTCTCGACGGCAATTGGAGGTGGGGTAGCCACTTTCGGTGTGAATCCTTCTTTACTTGTTTTGAAACATTCATATGTCCCGCAGTGGTCTGATCGTTAAGACACGGTTCCCAGCAGATCACAGAAGTCAAGCATCACTGGCTGCAGTCAGTGCGCGGGTGG